TGAAGTTTTAACGTAAACATTCTGGTTATGATTTTTCTGCTGTCGTAAAAAATGGAAGTCGGGCTTATTTTGTGACAGATCTCTCATAACAGAGAAGTGTTCAGTATTTATTTTTCTCTCATTAGTTCCTAAAAATGTTTCTTTCAGTGGAGTTGAGGTAAAAATAAGCGGCTGTGAATCTTGTTCTCTCCTTTGCTGTCTCCATGGCAGTGAAGTGTTTGAAATTGGTATGTCCATCTCAGTCTTTGCAGCAGTGCCATCCTTTTTAAATGTGAGCTGGTTTTTACCCTCAGCACTGGGATTCAGTTTACAGACATGTATTGGAGCTTTTGATCTACCCTGGAGTAGCTGGAGGACTCTGCAGTGTGTTAGAAAAAGAAATGTCTGGCATGATTAAGACATGTTTCTGGTTTGATTATTTTGTGCATATAAAGAAAAAGCTCAACCTGTATTTTTTTTTTGTTTGTTTTTTTTTTTAGATGTAGGAAAGAGGAAAAAAATTTTATCTTGGAAGAGCAGAGTTTGTTTCATGACAGTATTAACTGTGCTTCAAAAGCAACATATATCTTGTGTCAGTATATAAAAGGATGATGCTTGTCCTCTAAATTTAGGTGGGGCATTTTAGCAAATCAGCAGAGCTTTATTACATAAAAATTTAGATCAGGTCCTATTTTTTGTAGGAGTATGTCCTGAAAAGAGAAACAAACATGCTGCTGCCTTTGGTGGCTGATAATTGGTGACATTTTTACATTTTAGTTCACAAATACTCTGAGTGTGGCAATGGAAATGTTTAAAGGTGACTGCCAAGCTTACACATAGAGCAGATACTGTGGTAGCCTTATTTTGGGAAGCATTGGGAGGCTTTTATAGACAGACATTGTGTGTGGGATCCTCAAGAGCTGTCTCTGGCACTGCTGAAGGGAAAGGCAGTGGTGTTGCTGTAAATGCTGGTCTTTAGCACAGCAAGGACCTTGCTGTGATTGAGGGTTAGGGGAGCTGCTGGAGAAAATGATTGGTAATACAGTAATCTGCTTTTTGAGAGACCTTTTATAATGCCAATAACAGCAGGCTAGAATTTGGCTTGTTTGTTAGGCACTGAACTCTTGGTGCTGCTCATACTGCTTAAATCCTTTTTTTGTGTGGGTAATGTGAGACCTTTTAATTTTTTTCAGGATTTTTAGTCTTTTCTAGCTCTACTGTAAAACATTTAGTTTAGTTATGGTTAGTTATGATTTGTGACAGACAGAACTGGGTAGGAGGGATTTAGAAAATGGAGTCTGAAAGAGGTCACGTCATTAATTTAAATTTGTTTTGAACATTTCAGATTTTTCTTCTTGCCTGTCCTCCCTGTCGGACTGCAATGATTCTCTTCAGGTAACACCTCTTCCTTACCATACTTCTGTCTACTTTCATGATGTATTTTAGAAGTTAATCACTGCTTAAGGCATAAAATACTAAGTTTTATGTCCAGTAGGAAATGCACATTGGTTGGATTGAAAAATGGTACCTTGAAAAGGCTTAAAGGGTGAGCGTTGGGCCCCTTACCCTTGGTGCTTCTGTACTGGTGGGTTTGGCCTCACTCAGGAGCGTGAATTAGCTCAGTAACAGAGGAGTCAATGCAGGTTCATGTATCAGCTGCTGTAATTTGTGTCATGGACCTTGTACCTTTTCATTATGCTCAGTAAAAATTCATAACTGGGCCTCACTGAAAGCCATGCACACAGTGTGGGTCTAATTTTGAATCTGTGGATAGGTAAGGTGAAATGGTTAATGCAAACTCTTGCTGACCTGGGTATTTCTGAAATCCATGCAATCTTCCCTAAAATGCTGCGTGATACTTTAGGAACCACAGGAGGCTCTAATGGGCCCCAGCAGCAGAGTGCAGTGATGAGCAGCTAAAGGACTGAATTAGTGGTGTTGTGGGGAGGGTCAGGGGACTTGCCAGGCAGAATGGCAATCAGGAATGGCTGTAATTGCCACCTTGACATTAAGTTTGGCTCTTTCTTGTCTTAGTCTGGGCATTTACTGGAAAAATGATGCTGGGGCAATGCCTATTACTGTCTGTCTGCAACTCTTCCCTGTTGTTCCTTATTATTTGTGCAGGGATGACGGAGATCCTGTGTCAGTGTCTCCGTCTTGGAGGGTGTGAAAAGCGTGTCTGGTGTCCAGGAAATCTTTGCTAAATGCTATAAAACAGAGGCCACAATATTTGTTGGTTTTTTGCAGATTGAGCATTTCTATTTTGACACCCTGGCAGCATATAAATTATGTCTGAAAGACTGTTTTAAAATTGTAATACCTTCTTCCCCCTCCCCCTCAAATTACTTTTAAATTCCTAACAGTTTATGACAGACAGTGCTTGGAGACAGTTTACGCTTTACTTAGTATCCAAACTGTTTTAGTCTCCTTTATATAAGATACAATTTTTCTGTTCCTGTGATGCAACAGTGGTTCAGAAAAAGCTGGTTGAAAGCTGCCTAAAATGCAGTATTATAACACTACTTTCCTGCCTCGTGCTTTGCTTAGGACTTGCTGTTGCGTTTTGATAAATGTGGTTCTTTTTATTTAAGGGACTTCTTTCAAATTCCCGAAGCTTTACTGTGAAGCTACACATTCTCAGGGTTAAGCAGGATAAAAACTGTTATCAAATATGCTATTTTAAGCTCTGGAAGACAAGTGAACAGCAGAATTCCAACTATCTAGCAGCTTGCATCGTGAACAGGATTACGGACAGTCCAGGCTTTCTAGGAATCCAAAGCTTATTATAGAAAGCAGTCCTACTTTAGGAAATTCTACAAGTGTGGATCTAAAGATAGGTTTTTGTCCTGGCTATTGCATTTGCCAGCATCTCATTAATTGCATTTAACAGTGACTTTATTCAAATTCAAGCCAAAAGAATTTTAAATGTCTCGCTACCTTTCATTGAAGAGATAATACATAAAAGCACTGCTTTGGATTTCCACCTGTGAAAAGAGTATCCCATCTTTTTTTGAAGGTTGCAGATGCACATGCTGAACGGGGCCCTGCTGGCATTGCTGTTTCCTGTTGTGAACACACGCCTGGTGAGTGCACTGTAGTTTTCTTCCTCCTTTTTAATTTATTTCTGGAAGATTTGCTTTGGGAAGGTGTCAGAGCTTTGCTTTGTTTGGCCTTTTAAAGTTTGTTTTACCAGGCTGTACATTCCTGGTACAGGTCATTACAGTGGAACCAAAATACCAATCGTGGATTTTTGGGGTGTCTGTAACTCAGTGTGAGAAGCCAACAGTGCTGTATTCCAAGTATTCCAAGTGTCTGTTCCATCCTGGCCTTCAAGGAGGGGAAGCTTAAAGGCTTTGGAAGAGGCTTTCACAGGTTAACCTGGTGGCACGTGGTCAAAATTCAGTGTCAGGCTTTTCAGACTCCGTGTCAATGTAAGATTCCTCTGGCCTGGAAAATGCCAAATGTTGTTCTTGGCTGCCATCCCCTCTCTCCCAAGATTGCGCACAGCAGGTTTCTTTTTTCCCATCTAAGTTTTCAAATCTGCTGTAAAACTGGAGTTAACCTGTTGTTGTGCCTGGTAAGATTCTTAAACCTATTGTCCATATAGCACATGAATTAATATTATTAACAAAATTGTTATGGACTTCAGACTCCATTGCAAATCTTGTTATTGGCTCTCCCTTTGCAGATATTAACTGTCTAAATAAGATTAACTGTAAACTTATGGTTATGTGCAGATTGCAATTGTTTTATTAAAACTTGATACTGCTGGAGGGCATCAAATGAATAAAACAAGTGGGATTTTTTTCCTGATAAGGATAAATCTTTTTATTTTGTATTTAAAGCCATCTAGTTTTCAAGTAAATATAACCTTAAGCATGACAAAATTATTTTCCTGGGTAACCTTTGAAGGATAAAATGTTGCAGTATTTAGTAAATCATTAGCTTTTGTTTTCTCTGCCATGATCATAAATCTCACTCATATTAGGGCAGTGGTGATTAAATAAGAAAGATGCAGACTACTCACAGAATTTTCTCCACAATTATGATTGGAGGAGCTTAAGGACAATGTCCAAGAGCAAATATTTTTGGAATAAATACAACTTAGGATATTTTTGGCCTAACAGCTGCTTGCTAGGCTTTCCTCTTTCAGTGTTTCTTCTGGCACAAGATAATGTGGGTGATGCTGTAGAGTGCTGCTGCCTTGACCCAGATTCTCTCCTGGCAGACAGACATTCAGCTCCACAAATACCACTGTAGTTGTTTACACTGACGTTGTCCTGAAAGCAGGAAATGTCTCCTGAAACTTAGTAGGAATTTCAAAAAAATCCCAATAATTTTATCTGAGCTGAGTGCTCTGGTTTATGGTATCTAAGTGAAAAACTCTGGGTTGTCAAGAATTGTTGTGTCTCTGTACAGCAACTTCAAATTTCAGTTTTATGAGATTTTAGGTCATTTTCATACGAAAATGTTATACACTTAGATATGTCTGTAAATAGTTGGAATATATAGTGTGTGACACAAAAATTGGTCAGTGTGGGGAGGGAGATGATCTGGGGCAGAGAGAGATCTGAGGTCAGTGGAGCTGGAGAGCAGGAGGCTGGTGCCTCCCACCACTTTGAGGGACTGTGCCAAAGGATGCACAGCCCTAAGTGTCCCAAATGCCTCCCTGGTGCCTTTCAGAGCGTGAAATGTGTGTTGTCTCCGTGAATTATTTGATGTACAGCTGGGTGTTGTCCTGTGGTAGGTATTTCGTTGTCCTCGGCTGACACTGTCCTCGAGCTCCCTCTTCCATGTGATGATCCTTTGGAATCTTGCAGGCAGCAGATGATGGGGTTGATCTGCAATCTCTGTTTGGAGACACCTGCTAATTTAGCAAGTTCAGCAGGAGGCCTGTGCAGAACAGCTGGCACCTTGGGTGTCATTAGGGAGATGAAAGCACTGAGATGCGGGAAAAGATATTAGATGTGCAGTTTTATTTGCACTTGCCAGCAACCTGAAAGGGGCAAAAGGCAGGAGACAGAGAATGGAAGAGAGTCATTTCATCACCACTTTGTGGATGTTTTAGTGGATATCAGGGTTCTGCTTCCAAGTTTTAACCTGTTCAATGCAGTTTCCAGAACACCTCTTACAGCATTTTGTGGCACAATCTGTTGGGTCACATGTTTTTGCTACCAATTGCATTACTGAGTGCATTGTAAGTGTTCTTTTTGTATATCTGCTTCAATGTTAAATTAGCCTGAAAAATAAATTTGTTGAAGCTTCTGGCATAATTTCATGGTTTCCATTTTCTTATAATGCATCTGTTAATTTTTTTTTTTTTTTTTTTTTTTTAGAACCTCAGTCATTTCAAAATTATTCTTAGATAGTAGTCTGTTGGCAGTGGAAATGGAGAGTTGAGATATTCACTGCAACTACAGAAGAAAGTTTCTACCTTTTTATTGTTTTAATCTTTCAGTTAAAATGTGCTTGTCAAAAATCTTGTTGGGCTATAATGGGCCACCTGGAATAGTGTTCCAAACAAATGTAGCCTAAAAGATGAGGTCAGGCTATTCTGTTCTTTCCAAGAAAATATTTTCCTGCCTTGGCACGATGTTGAGGTGTCAACAATTAGCAGACTTGTGCAACAGATGCACCCACTTGTAATTATTTGGCACCTAAATACTCCAGTTATTTGCTATGTTATTTATGATGTGCTGATGGAATTAAATTTTGTGCATTGGAATAGGCATTGGATAGAGACAAAACTGTTTCTTATTCAGTCAGCTTATTCAGTTCTTATTCAGAACTCACAGTATTATTTTGTTGGTTCTTATCCTTTCAGAAATAAAGGGTATTTTAATTTTCTCTCATAATTTCATCCCTTTCTCATGATGTGAATAATTCTCAGTCAGTATTAACTATTCATACTAAGAGCAGGGTAATCTTTGGTGACCCTTAAGCAAACAGAGAAGAAGATGCCAAGGGAATTGGCTTGTTAGGTTCCCAAGTGGGAGCCTAGAAATGTGGAAGAAGATATACAGGAGTAGACAGATTTCTTTTTACCCTGTATTTATATTATATGGAACACAGTGTAGGTCCTGATAACCAGGCTGTGTGGGTAAATTCATTTGACTGCCACGAAGACTCCAAGTGTTGAGAGAGTAACTGGATCTGTTTGAGCTTTCAGGTTGCATTAATCAAACCTTAAAGGAAACTCTGCTGGTTTAAAAGTAGTTGGTTTTTGGCTTTTTTTTTTTTTTTTTTTTTACAAGCTGATGTCCTGAAAGTGTTGATATAGATAAAGTAAAAAAGAGGACATGTCCCAAAGGTGTTGGACTTGTTGTCTCTGCTCACATGGCTGAGATGGTGCAGTTTTAATGTTTCCAGAAGCTGCTGTATTCTATTATTAGAACTATTTGGCCTGAGAGGTGCACATTCTAAATCTGTGTTAGGAGCAGAATCATACTCTGGGCAGGACTTTGAGTACATTCCATGCACAACACTCCAGTCACTGCCTGCTGTTCCGCTGTTGACTGTTGAAATAACAATTCACTGCACTAAATAGTTTGCCTGAAGTGCCTGAGCCTGCACAGCGGAATGAAACAGGTTGTGGTGGCTCATTAAGTCATCTCTAAACTGGCTTTATCTGACTGGCACAAGGAAGGACAAACGGTTGGGGGCTGTTGAGAGATCGTGCTTTGGCTGCTGGTGGGTGATAAAGGCAGGGCTGGTGCATCTTTGGGCAGTTGTACATGCTGTGTGCATTTAACTGGTGTGAGGGTGTTGCTGATGGTGATGTCTAAGAGGGTGGCTGGTACAGAGCAACCTTTGCTGGTTGCTGGGCTGTGTGCCAGATGTGCTACAGGAAACAGCAGAACCTGGGAGCTGAATTCCTTCTATTCCCTTTCTGCCATCCTCTGCAGTGTTTGCACAGAATGATGGAGGAAGTGCTTGAGCCAAGATACAAATAATTTAGAGGGAAAAGCACTACTTTCAGCAAACAGAGCAAAGTGTTAAGCTGCTTGCCAACTGAAAACCGGCTGCTGGGTGGTCCCTTGTGCCTTGTCTTCACTTACAGTTTCTCTTTGCACGTAGAAGGTGCCTCTCTGCTATCTGTGAGTGAATCTTTTATTGATAAAACAGTTTATGGACAAGGCACTTAGGTCTGGGTGAGCCAGTTGCTCAGTACAACTTTATAGTTCCTCTGGTGTTTTTTTTGTTTTGTTTCCTGTTTTTTGTAGCCTGGCTGTGCAACTCCAGTGCTTGGTTGTACAGAAACTCTGCAGCTCCACAGCAGGAAATGCACTCGCATGATCAGCCAGGCTTCAGAACAAGCCTTCTCTTACAGTGGGGATAAAGATGTTTTGTTTTACACACACTCACAAAAATATTGTCAACACTTCTGCAGCACAAACAACTGTTCCTGTGTTGTGAGGAGTGTCCTGAGAGCGGGGTTGGTGTGACAGACCCTCACAGCTCTGAGTGTGGAAACCCTTTTGAAACCACAGATAAACAGAGAATGCTCCCTGGCAGGAGTGCCTGCCTCACGTTTAGTGTTTAGATTCAACAGCAATTGTTTCTGAAGTGGGAGAGGTGCAGATTTTTCTCCACTTAGGGAAAACTGCTTTAGCTCCTTCCCAAATTTTAATTCCCTCGCTTTGCTCTCTGTGCCCTTCAACAAGGGACAGCAGGAAAGGTTCAGATTCAGGAAACCTCACAACTTCCATGGAGTTCTTGTTTTTGCATACCATTACCTTGCTTGGGTTTATCTTCTGATACAGAATATTTGGAATAAAATAACCCAACTAATTCAACTAAACACACAAATGACTAATTGTAACTTCCCAAAGTTGTCAGCAGCTGAGAAATATGTGATTTACTACTAACTGGTAACTTGTTTACCCACACCCTTCTGCAGCTTCTCTTTAAAACCAATAAAATACCTGTTATTTTTTGTTTTGGTCAAGCTTAGCAGTCCCACACATGCATGCAGATTGCTATAAATCAGGCATTTTGAGGTTTTTTTCTTTTACAGAGGCCTCCTCAGTAATTAATATATAAAAGCTTATCAATACATATATACAAGACTGCATTTATAGAGTTCTGTCACTCAACAAGGTGATAAATAACTGAGTTCAATGCATTGTCATGGGTCCTAAGGAGAATGGTTCCTTGAAAATGGGTTGGTTGTTGCTGATGAACAATATTTACAAATATTTTCCCTTTTTCCACAGCTTCCATTTGAAATGGAAATTTATTATATCCAGCATGTGATGCTTTATGTTGTGCCCATCTATCTGCTGCAGAAAGGAGGTATGTTGACAATTTACTCCCTATGGATTGAATTGGTCCCATGCAATGAAAGAAATGTGCTTACTGGATACCACCAATTTTATCCTTACCCTTTCTTTAACCAGTTTTCTCTGTCTTTACTTAATAATTCCCAATGTTCTAATGTTGGAGTTGTAATCCAGGTAACAGCAACTTGTGTCAGGCAGTGAAATGGAAATTAAAAAAATGGTATGTTGCCCAAAGGATGTGCACTGTCTTTTTGAGTAGCATCTCTGCCACTTTGTAACACTCTCAAGTTGCTGGGGGGATGTATTTTTAAAACCTTTGCCTTCTTAGTACTGGAACTTAAAATGAGCTGAAAAAAACCCCCCATGATTACATCCCACATAAATATTAGTTGTCTAGTCAGGCAGGTTACAGAAATTCTGAAGCTCTAATGAAATGCAGTGACACATATTAGTGACACGAACTGGTTTTCCCGTTATCTCATCTTGCATTCACTTATGCCATAATAGTTCAGTAAGTCTGGGAATCCCAAATTGTTCCCCTGCCAGTGATTTTTCCTCAGAAAGGAGTGCAGTGTGGATTCAGCTGGTGTGATGCTCTGCTCCCCTCTAGCGTTCACATCCCTCCAGCTGCATTTTCTAGCAGGGCTAAATTGTTTTATTCAGGCAATAGAAGATGATAACTCATGGTCCAGAGGTTCGGTGGCCTTTAATGAAAAGCACAATGATGTGATGTGAACCGTGGGATGCAGTTTAGAAAATGCTCAGAACAAACAGAATCAGCCTCTTCTGTTCTGTTGAATCTGCTGTATTTTATACCAGCAGTGACTCACAGTCCTTCACCTTTTTCCGCTGTAACCTCTGTGTTAGTGACTGTGTTCCACTGCAACCTGAGTGAAACTGCACAAAAATGATTCACAGGAGAAGGTCTTAAGGTCTGGCCTTGGATGTCACTTGATGTGTTCCTTTATGTCTTGGGTTGGGTTTTTTTGTTTGTTTGGTTTGGCTTTTTGTTTGTTTTGAAGTAGAGGTTCTTGGGATTCTTCAGGACCTGGGACTGACAGGACTGTGTTTGCAGTTTGAAGGGTCAGGTGTCACCCTGGTCCAGTTTTCTAAACGCCTGCCCTATATTAACTTACAGGTATTTGCTGCCATCTAATGTTGATGTGTTGGCATTGAAATTGCTAAAAGAACTTGGCTGGCTAAATCTGGCAATTGAGATTGCTCTATAACTAAGGCTGTGTAACTAATAACTGTTCCATGTCTTACGTACTTGCCTTCCTGTCGGCTGACTGACTGTAATTCATTAACACCCAGGAACTCCTGCATTAGTTATGGTACCACAGGTGACCTAATGCGTGATTTTTGATGGCAAAAATTACTCAGCATGAAAATATTTGTTGGTGTTTTGTCATTTCACTGGCACCTCTGTTTAAAGCACCTCCTGGGTAGATCACACAGGCCTTTGTCCTAAGTATATCTTGTGAGAATTGCTTTTTTTCATCGCTAGCATTGATCAGCACTGTTATTGTAATCAGAAACTTGCAACTGTGAATGTATGGATTGTGACTGAGAGAAGTAATTGGAGGGTAGAAAATTGGAAAAATGACAAGGAATGGATCATATATGGGAAAATGTACTACTTCAGTTTTATTGGACATCTGGCCCTAAGGGGGTCCAAACATTCCTCAGAGGCAGGGGGAGCAGAACACCTGAAGCAGGGTGGGTTTGAGGCTCAGTCCACGCAGAACTGCACACCCAAGTTTGCTGACGTGCTAATCAGGTCATGCACACACATCTGACTCCCTGCTGACACCTTTCCTTTTTGAAAGGAAACTGGGTGACAGTAAGCAAGGGCTGTAATAGTTCATTTTCAGTGTCTTCCTGCTATTCATTCCAGTGGTGCAAGACAGGTCATGATGCACTGGCAGCATCACCTTCATGTCCCTCCTGACCCCATAAGTGTGGGGGCTTTACCACACTTAGCAGGAGCTGGGTGAGACTTAGAAGCCTTAGAAGGAAGGTTTCAGTGCAGCAGTGAACTCACCGAAGCTCAAGGACATATTCCCTCTTGGGGAATGTCCTCTCCCCTCTGTACTGAGTGAATATAAGTTTCCCTGCTTCCCTTTCTTAACATCCCTTCTTCCCAAGTGCACACATGCACATACACACACGTGGGCCACACAAAATACGTGTTTATGCACAGTGGCTCATCTTTCTTGGCTGCACTAAGAGACTCTCATGCAAAATGGATGCAGTGTGGATACAGCAGGCCAGCACAGGAGATTCCTAACCCAAGACAGTTCTCACAGGAAGTATGTCTGCAGTTGGCACTTTTATTTTTCTGGATGAATCTCACCTTGTGTCACCCGTGGTTGCTGTCCAAAATGACAGGATGCATCTGGGCAGGCCACAGCATTCCACAAATAGCTGGATGGGCTGAACAGTGACCTGCAGGTCACTGTTTTCTCTTGTCCTTGGGAAGTGAGACCCTTGCTCCCCTGCCAAAAAAACCTGAATGCTTTTGTAGTTTGTGTTGGGTCACTGTGGTGTCAGGGGAGTGTGAGCGCTGGGAAAAGGGAGTGCCGTGAATGGTGGAGGTGGGAGGCAGAAGGCCAGAACACAGCAGTGCAGATTTAGAGCATGGAACCAACCTCTTCTTCAAAAAGCTCCTCAAACTGCTTCCTTCTACAACTGCTCTGATTTTCTGAAGCATATGAGTGTGATCTGATAATTGTACTTTGTGTCACTGGGGTACAGACTGAGGAGAGAAGGCTGAGGAAGGTGACAGCTGAGCGAGTGTCCCGTCTCAAACTGCCACAACTATTGCAACAGTGACCTTCTAAGATTCAGGTATTAGTGGTGTTCAGGACAGCTTAGTTTTTTAACTGTATACCCTTGAGATAATGGAAAAAAAAAATCGAGTTTGCGCTGCATGAGCTTCAGAGACTCTCAGTTCCTGACTGTCTTGGTCCTTAAGCTGGTTTGGTCAGGTTTGCAGATGGATTTGACAAGGTTAGGTGTGCACCTTATTTCAGAACTTCAGATAATATTGAAATTTAGTCAGAGTGGAATTGTCACTTCCTTAGAGCAGTGAGCAAATGATATTACTCCACAACAGATTGAAATAAGGATTAATTTACAGCAGTTCCCTCTCAGTGGAGCTCAGAGATTCTGTCTTGTGTTTTGAGATAGCCAGCGTTATTTAGCTGACTCAGGGACCTCAGCAAGTGGAAGAGGATGCTGGTGTTGAGGTTTTTTCAGGATTTCGTTCCTGCTCGGCAGCACCGGGAATTCCGGGATGCCCCGGAGCGGTTGCGCTGCGGGGCCGCGGCCGCCAGAGGGAGCTGTGCGAGCCTGGAATTCCCGATTCCAGCGGGTTTGTCCGCAAGGTGCGGGCAGGGAAAGGGATTCGGTGGGGTTGTGGTTTTTGTGGGGGGAGAAATCCTCTTCTTCAGCCACACCTGACAGTAATGGCCTTGCAGGTCCTGGACAGTCCTGTGGTCTGGTCCTGTGTGTTTTAAGAGCTGATTTGCTGTGCACAAGTGGACAGACACAGACACCCTAAATAATTGAGTTGTTTGCTGGGAGTCGAGTCAGAATTTTCTTCTTTTAAGGCAAGTGCTGTATCTTTATAAGCAATGAAGATCCAGTCTCTCTGACTCAGGTCCTAACGCCCTTTTCTTTGTTGATCTGAGAGCCTTCAAAATTGGCATCAAAAGAGAAAAGTTCTATGGCATTATCAGAAAGGCAGGAGAAGTTAATGATCTCTTTTCCCCCCCTTTTTTTCTCCTCTCCTGCAGAATGAATGCCTCAGTCACACTTCAGAAGCTGGGCAGGAGCAGCTCAGCACAGCTCTGTGGGGGCAGTGCAGTGTCTGACCGAGGGGAAGCTGATGTAGAACACAGATACCGAGTACAGACCAAAGGATCATTTTTCCTGTGGCTGTAAACTAGGAAAGTGCAATTAAAGCAATGGGGGATCTAAAGTTGTGCTTTCCATTGGCTGTTAGGACTTGCTGGCTAGAGCAGGGGATTACCATATTCACAGGCATTTTTTTAGCTGTTGCACCCTTTGTTCAGCCACTTTTCTACTTTGTGACACTTTGGCTAGATCTATCCTTAGCTTTTTGAAGGAGTTCTAGAGCAGGCTTTGCTATATACCTCAGTAGCAATCCAGGAAAAGTATCACTTTATACTTGGATATATTTAGGTAGTAATAAATCCAGTTCATTTCCATCCTTGATAATGAAACAGCTCTTTCACTGAACCTCTGAACTGCTTGGAGATCTGTCGACTCTTAGGTACTATTTATTCCCCTGCTCTCCTGCTGGCAGTTCCATGTCCCTGTTCCAGCTTTTGTCCACCTGCTGCATCCCATGTGTTAGACATGAATGTCTGGTTTGCTGTCCAGCTGTGCCTGTCCTGTGGCACTTGGAGCAGAGGGTGGCTGTGCTGTCACTCTGGCTGCAGGCTCAGGCTCTTCTGTGGCTTGATCACTCCAGGACAATCGTGTTTGGTGATTTAAGAGACCTGGAGAGGAAGAGGAGGGGACATGTCTGTTCTGTGACCCTCTGAGCTCTATGCACTCAGCAGTCATAGTTTGTTTGAAAAATGAAATCTCTCTCTGGGAGGTGGAGAAATTTAGAAGGGCAGGTACCAGCATCTAGAAGAGCTGCTACTGTCTGAAGGCAGAGGAAGAACTACTGCTGCTTCTTCATGGAGAATAAAAAACGGTTCCTGAGAGGAGCAGGTAACATAAGAGCCCTGTGTGAGCTGGTTGTGATGAGAGGAGCTGGCACTGAGGGGAAACAGAAACCTCCTGGCATAAGGGAGGATTTTGAAATCTACACAGGGAGTCAGAACAGCTGTAGGGGAAACAGTGGATTTCAGGATCATCCTCTTGAGAATGTTTTTTCCTGTTTTCCTCTGGATACGAAGTTTGGTCTCTAGGCCAGCTCAGTAGGCCACACAATTAGAATTAACCCTTTGATCAAGGGAAATAAAATGAAAATAAATTCGCCCTCACATTTTTATAAGCTGGAAAATGAGAGAATTGTAATAGCTGAGTTTTGGATTAAGCAGCTGGTCTTGTAATTGTGAGGCTGCTGAAGGACAGTGCTGGAAAACTCATAAAGCTCTATCAAATGTAGTGGGAATGGAAACCAAGACAATTAAAGAGATTATTTAAAACCTTACTAAATTAAAAATTTGTACTGTATCTAGGTTCTAATTCAAACAAAGGAATAATTTTCTCCTCCATTATGCTTTCAGAGAATTACAAAAGGAGTATAACTTTCTATTAATTGCATTCAAATTTTTACAAGCCTATGTATTGAGAATTTGAGATAAAAATAGTGGTTCATAAGAACAGTTGAACTAGCACAGGACATTGGGGGTGGGGGTGGGAAGAGTATAAAAGAAATGGAGTCTTAGTTGATGTTTAGATTTTTAAAGCCATGCTTCCATTTCCCAGATGGCAAAGTGAACAGCTTGGCACATTCAAGGTCAACAAAGTGTTGTTGCAGAAGCAGACAAGGAATGCCCAACTCTTTGATCTATATGGAATCCTTCTATTGAAGTTTTGAAGTTTAAATTAAACTGAAATATCCCCTGCCATGCCATTTCAACAGTGGAGCAAATGTACAGCCTACCAAGATGACCCTGATTTGGAATGGTCTCGCTGTCTGGGCCACGAGTGTTTTTGAGAACGAGATCAGTGCCAGACTGGCAGTTGGATTAAATTTTTTACCTGCTTAATGTATAAGAATTGCCCATGATCCTTAGTAAACAGAGAGTGAAACTCTCTGCTGCTACCTGTTAAAATTGATTTCCTATTCAAGCTGCAGAAGCTTTTGCCAAAATCAACACAGGCCCTCGAAACAAGCCCTCAGTTTTCCTGGTTTTGTGTCCCTGTTAACAGGCTGTGTCCTATGGAAAGGAACCACACTGCTCCATTAAACAGCCATCTGCTGAATAGCAGGACTGTGGAGCAATAAAATCTATAGTGGTTATTTATCTAATGAGAAATGTACAGAAAATATCCCGGGTATGAATTTAAAATTGGTTTCCCAAAGCACACTTGGGAACGTAGAGTGCTGTGAAATGTTTTCCTGTGGAGGTCAGTGTTTCCTTTTTGTCCCTTGATGGCCAAATAATGCTGCTGCTGAAAATCACACCATTCTTTTCAGGATTCCAAAGTCTAACAAGGGGGGATTTTTCTATTACAAAGCAAGACCAAAAATCTGTAGAGAGCAAGAGTTGCTGATGTATGTTTTGGAGTTTTGCGACAGAGAGAGGATGTAGCAGAGTGAAATTCTTGGCTGAGGGAACCTGAACAGCTCTCCTGAGGGACCTCTGAAACACGATCCCCTGACTGGATTGAAGCTGGACATGGGAAGCCTGGGTTCAAAGCCAAATTATGCCACGGATCCTGTTATCTTGTGCAATTTCCTTGGTCTTTTAATGACTGCTGTCTCCCTCCATTCTCATTTCGTAGCTGGATCCACTTGTCTATGTTGGTGTTTACACCCTACCTGCACTGTAAATCACTTGGATATGGAGGTCTCTCTGTTTTGGCTTTCCAACCACCAGGCTTTGTTGACACTTTTGAAATAACACAGGCAACTGCCAGCAGATGAGTTCACGTGAAACCTAATTTGGTTTAGCTCTGCTCAGCCTGTTCCCAGGGGCTGCTTTGATACCTTATTTAAATTTTATGTTGTGTTTTGTATCTAGGTTAAACACGCACCTAGAACTTCAAAGACAATATAAATAAGTTTTGCAAGTCAAACGATGTTTTCTTCGCAGCAGAGGAAGGAGCACAAAGAGTTTCTGTAAAGCTTGACCAGGTCACCTAAAGTTGGTGCAGCCAAAAATAGAGCCGTGATCTCCTGCACCGTGACAGCCAAGCTGGTCCCTCCTTCTCTTGCTCTCTGGAACGAAAAACCATCTTCAAGGTGGTGTCACGTATCTGATGTTTTCAGGCCATGGAGTTTAATGAATATTGTTGCTATTTAAGTAAAGGCTCCTGCACCATTTTGTAAATAGGATGCCAGCTCCAAGCTCAGACTTGCGTTCCAAGAATGACTTCTGGGAATGTTTTTCCCTTTACCTGTAGAGCTTAAAGCTATTCATGGAGAGTTTGCTTTTAGCTTTTAGATTTTACAGTTCAGACACTCCTGAGCTCCACTTTCCTGCTGGGTAAGCAATCTTACAAGCTGCCTTTTGCTTTCCAAGCAGCTTCTGTGCTCCTTTTTACCCTGGTTGCACCAAGTCAGGGCTTGCTCAGTGAAACACGGTGTGCAGTCGTTCCTTGGGTAGTTACAGGAATACAGTTTCTCCTTAAAGCCAGGGAGGGATGTGAGGGGTGCAGATGTGCTGCCGCTGTCACTCAAACATGCAATCAGTGTCTTGCTCTGAGGATTGGCAGCAGAGCCCTTGTGTTCCTGTGCAGCTTCAGACAACAGCGTGTAGGTGACTTTGATTTTGTGCCATTCACGAAATGCTGTTCAACTGAACTTGTTTCAGGCAACTACTGCAAAACCAGCCTGAACTGGCATGATGGGTACAAATTGTGGAAGAAAACTATGCAGAAAAGAATCTTAAGAGGGCAACAGACTGAGGAGGCATTCATTCCTCTAGAGACTTTAAGCATGACAAGGGATGCACCATTATAAGGTGATGTGGTAACAGCAGTTACTTGTATTTATCTGCACAGGATGCCATACACAGGCATGTTCACAGCAGCTGTGGCCTGGTGGCTTCTGTGGTCCCTGAACTCTTCATGTGGAGTTATTTGAGTTCCCAGAGCCTTGTGCAGTGTATGCTGAAGTCTGTAATTACTTCCTGGCAATTACTGAACGTGCCAGCAAAGGCTGGTATCAATATTGCACTCCGTGCTGTAAGCTGTCCTTTGAGTACTGGATACACAGCCCAATATATTAGATATTTAATAATATCTAATGGATCAGAGAGCAGATGAAGGCAGATAAAAATTGCCAGTGTATTTTTGTAATCCTCTGGAACTCTTACAGCAGCTGAGCAGCATGACATTGTGCATCTTTCTTTTGTGTTCTGAGGTTGAAGTTATTAAAGTCATAAGGAAAATAATACTTTTTTTTCCCCACATATCTTACACTAAAACTTTCATGGCTGCTAGTAAGAGTCTTAAGAACTCTCTAAACTGGTTTTGTTCTCACTGTATGAAATTTGAATACTTAATTCCCAAAATAGTCATGTATCTGTGGGTACTTTTATTAGATCTGATTTCCCTGGTACATTCTGGATCAGGGAACATTGTGTTTTGTCAGTAAACAGACAAAACCTGCTTTCAGGAGGAGAGAGAAAGGTGGGAATAACATGGTATCTGCTACTTCATTTGAAGGGAAAAAGTATTTTACAGTATCTGTGATATCTACTGATTACAGCATAGGTTTACCACCACAGCAGTTTTCATGTAAAAGCACAGCCTCTCGCTGATGGATTGACTACTTTTATACAGCTTTTCTGTTCCTTGGCATTATTGGTGCAGGTTCCTCTTTGATAGTTGTTAAACAACCATAAAATGAGGAAGTGGCAATGCTGTGCTCTAACACAGCGCTGTGCAGGACCTGCTGCTGCCTAAGCCAGTCCTGTGCAGGCTGAAGTCATGGGCCCTGCAAGAAGCAGGTGTTTAAGTATAAATAACCTGATTTTTGAAGGTTCATTGTGCAGTATTACTGTGTCTTAAAATCGTGTAGTACTTCTGTGGTAGAAGGAAGAAAGAGGTAAAAATTAGTGGTGGTGGTGAAAAATAGGCAAATATAATGAGGGAACATACTGCTTATTTTTACTGCTGGACCGGAAGGAGGGAAGAAGCTGTTCAGGATGCTCCAGGTAAGAATTAAAGCTCTCAAATATTAATTATTGTGATGGCATTGAGTAGGTTATCAGCTCAAGCCAGATGCCCTGACATGCACAAGAGCAGGAGAGAGAGGATTATTGTTGAGTGAGTGTTTGATGGACACAGCAATGCAGCTGAATACTAATGTGCTCCTTTCTTTTCAAGGTATCTACACTCCAGAGCCACTCTGCAATTTCTGGTGGGCTCTTTTATCCACGGGGTTTATGTTTGTCTATCACTTCAGCATCTTGCAGGTTCTGGGACTGGTAAGTAAACACAGGTTAATAAATAGTTTGCAAGTACATCCAGAGTAAAAACACTGCCTAGTTAGTTTCCCAGTGTCCAGATCCACATGGATAAGAACTTGCATGCAAATTTTTGATAAGGCTGCTTGTATGCAAATTGCATGTTCTAATGAGCATTTGTGTCTCTTGTCTCACAAGTACTGCTAAAATATTTTGTAGATTGGTTATGTACCTGCACAAATCCATCTATTAAATGCACAATGAAATTTGGATCTGCTTTCTTTCTGGAAGCTGCCCTCTTTGTGTCAAGCAAAAGTGTCACCTAAACATTTTTCTATTATTATGGTATAATTTCAAAACCGGTGCAAAAGCAAAAACATTGTTTAATTTATAAATTTGTCGTTGCTTCCTCAGGTCACGGAAGTGAATTTGAACAACATGTTGTGCCCAGCCGTCTCAGACCCTTTTTACGGGCCCTGGTATCGAATCTGGGCATCTGGACATCAGACTGTGATGACCATGACTCATGGGAAGCTTGTCATCCTCCTGTTTCACAGTGCTGTCCCCATCTTTAAATGTAGCATGGACTTGCTTAGACTGCCAGCCAAGAAAATAGACTGAAATGTCTCCCCGTGGAGTCCTGCAGGGAGCAGAGACACCGATACTGGAAAACAGAGAAGGGATGAGAGGACAACGAATTTCTACTTCTCCCCACAGTTTATTGCCTCAGAAACACCTTTGTAATCAAGTGAGGGGTTTTTTTTTACCTGCTGTTTCTCACTGCCTATTGCCAATGGCAAAATTAGTGGCCTTATTCTGGGAAAGGTTTGTGTTTTATACATTTTGTACAGATTACAGTAGAATCTTGCTAAGCCACCATTTAAAATTAGGCCAGGACCTGTCCACATTCCAGCAAAGAGAGTGGCAGTGCTACCTTGTTTGGACTTATTTTCCATTAAATATGAGTACAGTTATATCATGGGAGAGGAAATGATGTTGCATTGCAACGCTCCTCTGATGTGAATGTTGAGCCACATCATCCTGGCTCAGCTCTCAGAACCTGAATGTTCCAAAACAGCCCCAGGAAACAATCTCCCAGTTGTAAGTGCAAAGGAGTGAGGTTCTACTGTATTTTCTTTAAGCTGGTTGAAAATGTTGGGGAACAATAACTCATTCAAACAATACTTTTTTTGGTTTGGTTTTTTTTTAAAATCAGCTGCTTAGTTCCTAAGCTGCTGTGGGTAAATATCCATCTGGTGAAGTCCCATTGTATCTTGATGCTTTGGAGATACTTCTATTTGGGTGAGTGGAAAAAAATTGTGTGGGAATCATTTCAAAAGACCATGCTGTGTATAAGCCATGATAAGATATTGCATCTACTCTTCTGTCCAGACTTTGAACAAGATGTTTTTTCACTTAGCTTAGACTGGAGAAGGAGTGGAGATACAAAGTCCATTGTAAAGATCAGAGTTCTCTTTTTTTTTTTTTTTTAACTTAGTAGCTTTTGAAACATTCCTGCTCTGTTCACACTGATCGTCGCTGAGCAGACTGCTTAAAAAAGGAACAAAATGAAACTGTTCTCTCTCTACAGCTCTAATACATCCTGTGTACTGATTTTAAAATACAGGTACAAAAAGGAATGTCAAATCAGTGCAGTTCTGAAAAGAACATGTTCCAGTTTACTGGTAAGAAATCTTCCTGTCAAGGTGTCTTTTGGAGAACAGGATGCAGATGGGCAGAACGATCAACAGTAAAATGTGTGTACCTGTTCAGATTTTGCAAGGCTAGAGGAAAAACTGCTGGGCAGAAAGATGGGAGATCCTGAGCGTGTTCTTCCAGAACTGTGGCTCTGTTTCCCAGGCTGTTGGGTTTCGGGGCTGCAGGTTTCTGTTGCACACGAGGTTGTTGCAATTTATACGTTCATTGAGTTATCAAAGCTGTGACTTGTAAGATAAACCAAAACCATGATACCTCCTTCAGCTGGAGCGCCTGAAGGGATGTTCTGAAGTTAGGGTACAGTCATTTATACCTCAGGAGGGAAACAAGAGAGAACAAGAAGTGGTTGATTTTGGTATTTTTATCTGTTTTCCTTGAAAAAGAAAAAATTTAATTGGCCAGAGGAGAAGTGGCTACTTCAGATATTTTGATTCTGTATGATTAAAAAAAGTACACCTCAATCAGAACCATATTGTCCCACATTCTGATTTACAGACTAGTTTCTGCTTTTCTTCCATGCCTTGCTCTGTGTGTGTGTGTATATATATATATATACAGCAGCCTGAATGCAGCTGTGGCAGACCCCTGGATGAGCTGCTGAAGGGATGGAAGTTCTTGCTGGTTATTTCAGCAGATCCAGCCCTTCATGCTGAAATGCAGGACGTTGCTGGGAGATGCCAATGCTGGATGTTAGAGCCTGTCCCTTATTAATACACTTCATCCCCTGGGGAGTGCTGAGCAAAACAGTGATTCTTCCCAACCTGTAGCTACTGTCAGGTACCAATCTTGGTTTATTTATTTACTCAAGGATTCGGCAAAATGCCTTATGTTGGATTCAGTTCTGTTTAGAAGAAATATTTGGTATTACAATAGAATGATTTTAGTCAAATTTTGCCAAATACTATTTTGCATTATTATTTGCTTAACTTCATTTTTTCTTTTTTAAAAAAATCTTTCCTGTTTTTTAAAGAATCTTTTTCCTTTTTTCCTCCCTCAGAATACTGTAGTTACTGAAACATTTCTAAAAGTAGCAGTCTTTTATTTTTATATTTTATTTTTTTAAACTATAACATTTCCCATCTATAGTCATATGCTTCAGGGCATTCCAAACAAGTATAAACCAGCTGCTGTTTGCCACCATTGACTGCCTCTGGTCAATTAAAACTGCAGGAGCATTTAAATGAGCTCAGGTGTCTCACTCAGTGCAGGCTCTTTGCTTGGAATGCAAAATTTTGTGAGCTCTTCTGGCTGACTTAAAATCCAGTGGCAGGAATGGCACAGCTGACAGGAGGAAATGCCTGGGCCCATGTCCCCAAGTGCCACATCCATCCACCTTTTAAATACCTCCAGGGACAGTGACTCCACCACTTCCCTGGGCAACCTGTTCAATGCTTGGCAACCCTTTTGGTGAAGAAATTTTTCCTAATATCCAATCTAAACCTCCCCTGGTGCAATTTGAGGCTGTTTCCTCTTGTCATGTTGCTTATTTCCCGGGAGAAGAGACTGACCCCCACCTGGCTGATGACAAAGTCCACCCTGAGCCTCCTTTTCTCCAGTCTGAGCCCACTCAGCTCCCTCAGCTGCCCCTCATCACACTTGTGCTCCAGGCCCTTCAGCAGCTCTGCTGCTTTGTTCTGGACGAGCTCCAGAGCCCCACTGTCTTTCCTGTAGTGACAGGCCCAAAAGCCAAAATTATTCCCTCCCTCCCTGTACCCCTTTTTGAAGGCTTTTAAAACTTAGTACTTCATGTTTGGTTATGGTGAGCCACCACAAGAAACTGCACCCACCCAGCTGAGAGAGAGGCTCTGCTGAAGGGAAGGACAAGTGAGAATGGGAACAGAAAGGGAACAAACTTTTGAAGAAACCATCATGGAGCTTCACCTCCTTTACCCTTTCTTCCTCATCTGTCTCTGGTACCTGCTGGGAATGTGCATCAGCCAGAGCTTGTTCCATGTGCATGCAGGATGTGGGAAAGAAAGGGAAAGCTTCATCTCTGTAGCACTTATTTGTTGTTTTCCCTCACAGAGGCCGATTCTTCTTTTCCCCTGAAGGTTTCTTTTATAGGCACTTACACTATACAGATGATTTCTTTGGTTGCTTTTATGCTTCTTTATGCTGGAAATGAAAGAACAAAACTCTCCTGCTGCTCCTGGGAGCTGATTGCTTTCTCTGCTGGGGTATTACGCACACAATCCATGGCAAGAGGACTTGAAGCTGTTTCCTGGTACCTGGTGCTGAGATTTTACAGAGCTGCAGTGCCACCTACAAGTGAAAGGGTTGTCCTGGTCCTCTGTGGTGGCACTCACAGCTGTGGCAGTGCTGGCAGGGGCTGGGGCAGGAGTTGGGCTGTGCAGACTTACCCACCAGTCCCCACAGCTGAGTGTAAAACCTCACCCCACAGTGGGCCCATGTGCTGTCCAAGAGCAAGTTGGGCACAATCCCAGAAAGAAATCCTTGTGCTGTGCTGCTGCCTGGCCTTCCCAGAGACACTGGTATGTATTAGGGGGTCTGAACAGAGCCCTCCAATTTTTAGTACTGTAGGCACTTCAAAAGAAACAAGGAGTGAGGAAACTGCTCCTGCTGCCGAGTGGCTGCGTTTCCTTCCAAATGTACCTGTAAACAGAGCATTATTAACTTTAATAAACTTGTTTACTGATGAGGTTTTTTTTATCCAGCCCTCCAAAGCACAGAAGGGAACCAGTAACATTTCTGCACCCACTGCCTTGTCCCACAGCTTTAGCTGTCCAGGACCCCTGCAGTGCTATTTCTCCAAGGATTCAGACACTGAACAGTGTCAGAGCTTTATCTATTCCTTTAGCTCCTTCCTATTTAAGCACCAAAGCAGAATTTGCATCTTGTTTCTTTTGAAGGGTGAAAATGAACCATGCATGTACCAACTGCTGAAAAGCCAGTCTATGAACACACACCCAGAGCTGGTTTTGGTTCAGCTTCTTACGGTTCAAAGATGCTGCTTACGGGCAAAGCCTTCATGTGCTTGAGCAGCTGCTGCCTTGCTGAACTTGGGAGACAGGAAAAGTCAGCCCATTTGCAAATCCTGAGGTGAGAAGAGTACCAATCTAATTGTGGATTTCTGTTTCGGGCCACAATCAGGGATTTGATATTTGTGTATATTTGATAGCATTTTCTAAAGCCCAGTTGTATTTTTCTTTCACAAATGGTACTTGCAACTGTTAAATGGCTGTACTTTTATGTCCCAAGTTTTGCATCTAAACCAGAAGCATTTGTTTTCTATGCATCTGTAGCTAATGGAAAATAGAGTTGTGCTGTTTTCTTGTGTTGCAGTTGTTTCGCTCGAGGTGGAGTCTTAGGAATTAAATTAGTCCTAATTGTTAACAAAGCTCTGAAAAGGCCAAAAGCCAGCCCCGGTAGGAGGTGCAAGGTTTCTGCAGGCAGACAGGTCAGCTTTGATGTTTTCAGTTTTACAGTGACAAGACTCATAACGAATCTGTTGATTTTGTGATCTCGTGCTCTTGAGTAATATTGCTGTAAATCCGTCTTGCAGCTGTTGGTGTAACTTTGAGTCAAAGCCAAGCTGTTTTATAAATAATTTTATTTTTCTTCAGGGTCAATTTTGTACTTTTTTTAATTATTTCTGCATTTCCTGAGTCATTATCCCAATGCTGCAGAGGACGCAGCAGGCAGACCAGTGAGCATTCCCTGCTCTCCCCATCCATGCCGTGCCAGAGACCTGGAGCTGGAGCTGGCCTGGACCACAAAGGGGTCTGTGGGAACTTGCAGATCTGGTTACCCCACCCTCCAGTTCCAGCATTATCCAGGCACAGACTGGTTTGGCAAGGGCAAGGATGGACGTGGATGGGCTCAACTGCCACATATGCTGTTAGTTCTGAATAATTTGTAAGAGTGTTATGAATTTTGTAAACTTTTTAATGTGCTAAACCTTGGTTATGAGGCAACATTTACAAATACGGGGTAATTTGTGTACTTGTTTTTGTATTTTGGTCTGATGATGGGGTTTTTTTTGTTGTTGTGCCCTAAGTACAGATGATTGGGCAAATAGTTGTTAAGCCTTTGAATTAAAACAAATAAATGCATTTTAATGGATACTGGACAGTTTTGTTATCATTCTAATTGTGCCAGGCCTGGAGTTTGTTTTAAGATTTTTTATGATTAGGTAAGAAAACCTAAATTGCCTTTCCAGTTCAGTTTGTAACATTAACAGTCAAGAGTCACTAAATATTAGCCAATTAAAGGTCAGGACAAAATATGGAGGTTCCTGTGTGAAACAGCCTGCACTGCCTGATGTCCTCTCTTTGCACACAGCAGTTCCTGAGAGAACAGTGGTTCCTGGGCTTCCTGAAAGTTTTAAGCAGTTCAGTATGACCTGTGCCTGTACCTGCCAGTCACCAACAGCCCGAGTTCACTGGCAGAGCTCACTGTGGGATGTAAATCCTTTAATCGCTGTTTAAATGGTCCCTGTCCTTGTCTTTCAGGCAAAGAGCTCAGGAGAGACTGTTCCAGTACCATGAGGCTTCCTCCACTGTCCCCACCCAGCTCTGGCAGTGTCTTACAGTTCCCATTTCGTGGCACTTTAGTAGAAGGTGGGGGAACATGCACAGAAGTTTTCACAAAGCTGCTGTGGGAGCTGAGGTGATGCCAAAGTCTTTTAATGCACTTCAGAAATGCTTCTGGCTGTAATTGATATTATTGCCATCTAGATAAATGTATTCCTGTCACCCAATACAGCTCAGACAAGCAGGTCATTTCCTTGTGTGAGGTTCCTGGCAAAAGAACACACTGCATATGCCCACCTGTATAATTATATATGCATCGCAGAGGTTTTCATTTTTCAGGCACCTGGGGAACAGAATCAATTATCCAGCCTAATTTCTCTGGAACAGTATAAACCCTGCTATAACAGCTTAAGGAGGAATCCAGTGTGGTGCTGTATGGCAGGCTGAGATGAACCAGGAAAGCAATTTCCCTTTTCAGGCACTGCTAATTATTCTCGAAAGCTCTCTACAAGTAACTGGAAATCAGCCTTTCATTGGTTAATACCAACAAATATGTAAGAATAAACAAGTTTCCACCTCTGAACCAGCCTCAATACTACTCTGCTAGTTTGATTTTTAATAGCATGGTAACTACAGAGTTGGCTAAAGTAGTGAGAAGAGTGGGAAACTCAGGGTAGGAGTGATAACTAGCTCTGCATTTCAATGGCCTGAGGGTTTTAGGAAGGTTTTATGCAGTTCAGACTAATGATACTCAACCAGCAATGGAAGCTATTTACTTGGGCAGGTTTCCCTTCAGAGCCAGTGGAGTAATGGCTGCATCAGTCTTCGGCATCCAAAGGTTACGTGGATCCCACTGGTTTGTTTTCAAAGACTTTGCATCTCCAGCCAGCAGAGCTATGAATATTGCATTAGGCACAGGCAAACAAACCCCTTCTCAAATCAGACCTGAGTTCCAGGGAGATGGAATGCTTTGTCTCAGGAATTATCCAACAGAGGACTCAGTAGAAAGTGTCTCTCAGCACACCAAGAGTTTGGCTCAGGGAACAAAGTTCTCCAAAAGATTTTGCCTCTCTTGGTACTTTGTTTTGCCACCAGCTGGACTGGGGCCGTGACAGAGATTCTTTGATACCCATTTTGCAACAATATTGTGCTGAACAATCTGTCTGTAAGTGGTGTAGGCTATGTGTTGGTTATACCAGTACAACTGGTTCTGTGAGGAAGTTTTGCTTAAAAAGACTGAAACCACTTCCCTGTCTCCCAGGAAGAAGCTCAGGTCTGGACAGAATTCCAGAAGTGTGAAGTTCAACATAAGAAGTATAAAACTGAACTGGTAATTGATATAAATGCTAATAAATATACTGGCATAAATGATAACTGATGTAACTAATATAAATGATTTATCTTGGAGGGTTGACTCCCTTCTGAATTAGAGTGAAAGCTGCACGTGCCTGGCCCCAGCCTGTTCCCACAGCAGACAGAAGGGAAAGACAGTTAATGCCAGGAAAATATTTCTAACACACCATTAGCCTTTGACATCAGCACCAGGTACAAATGCTTACATAAAAATATTGACCAAGCCACACAATTAAGCAGAGAGACATAAAAAGAAATGGTGATTCTTTTTCCTTATTTTATTGGGTAAATGATTTAAAAGGTAATAACAATAGTGTTAAAACTACTACAATATCTTTCCACAGCCATATCTCACAGACCCACAGATAACCTTCTAGCATTTTTTTTTTCTTTTTCCTCATTTTTCTCTTTTGAAGCCGTACTTATATTAAATGCCCATTTCAACAGTTTCTTCACACTAATAGCAATTAAATGTGGAAGGAAGGAGGATCTAGTTATAAAGGAAGGGGGTTCAGGTAATCTGTGATATTATTGTAATCAATCAAGTTGCTAAGGAAGGAAGGAGAAGAGCGAGGCTTTACAAGCTACTCCAGGTAGCTCAAGCCCCCTGTGTGTCACCACGGCATTGAAGATAACTCAAGATGCTGGTGAACAATTTAAAGTAATTTTTTTTTTCTTTTTTTTTTTGTAACATATAAAACGCTAAAATAACTTAGAAACTAGATCCAAATATCTTGAAAAGAATCAACTTTGATATACAAAAACAGTCATAAGTTGTTACAAAAGTTTCAAACAAAAGTTTGTTTTCTCAGTGCGTTTATGTACCAGCGCAATTACTGGGTCCAGAGCAAAGAAAGAGGTTTATCTTTTTTATTTTTTTTTCTTTAACAGTAATAAAAAAACGAGGAAAACATATCTTTGTATATAAAGAATCATTGCTGGTCTTAAGAATAAATGTAACCAGAAACCCTTAAATCTGAGAGGCACACTTTGGGTTTCTCTTTTTTTATTTTTTTTTTTAACCTTTTTTTTTTTTTTTTAACATAAAAGGAAAGTCACCAGTTTATTTAAATGGAGGAGATATTCAGACTCCCCAAATAAACTTAATTAACATCACTAGCAAAAAATCAGTTAGAAACTGTACAAAAATAAAAAAGTTAACACATTTAATCCTGCAGGGATTCTTGTAAGGACTGGAAGGCAGGCTTTAGGAGCAGCATTTGGGCATGGCTGGAGGCTTCTTTGGTTCGATCTAACACACATAAGAGATGTAACCTACTCCAGACAACAACTTGAAAAACCCGCACGGTTGAAGACAAGTAGAGAGGTCCGTACACAAACGCCAGGTGTGCCAGTGGCTGTGCCCCCCCCGGGCTCCAGAGCAGCTCTGAGGTCAGGCCCGGGCTGGGCCCTCCCTGCCGCAGCCACAGCAGCGGGAAGGCCACTCGGAGCACCGCTGAGTAACAGCTGCTTCACCTCGAGTCTACGGTTTTGGTTGTCTATCTCAGTTTACAGAACAGGGTTTTTAGGAACATGGAGCAAGAGGATGAAAAAAAAAAAAAAACAAAAGCCCCCAACAATCTCCTTAATGGAATAAGGCAAACTGAGTAGTGCTCAGAAAAAAAAAAAAATAAAATCAGCATTTCAACTTAACGAACAGTGAAATACAAGCTGCTTGGTTGTACCTTAACTTCTATAAAGTACCCCAAATGAAAAACAAATCTGTAGCTAACCCCAACGATACAACTGAAAGGTACTTGAACATAACTCCGAGGGAATGACATTTGTGAGAGCAATTGCTGATCAGCTCTAAGCAAACAGACCTATTCTGTGCCAGTGCATGTCACAGTGAGCTGCACGTTTGGTACAAAGAAACCCACAATTACACAGAAACAATCTGCAGCGGTTTCAGCACCATGTGCTGAGGAGGTAGGTGCCCTAGAAACACTGTAGGTAGACTGATTATTCCAATCTTTTAAGAAAAATATCATACGATCTGATTGACCACAGACTCTGTAACAGTTTTTTAATTAGTGATACAAAACTCTGGTCCAGAAGGGTCTGGCATGAGCTCGGTCCAAAAGCACACCTTTACAGTTTGTGTAACACCCTTGAACTATATTTTTAAGCAACAGCTACTAAGAGATAGACAAAAATGCATTGTGCATTATGCTGTGTACAAAAAGGAGACAAAACTATCCTTTTCTCCCCCAAGCCATGGTGGGAAGTATTGCTGACCTTGTCCTTAAAAACCTGCAGGATTGTTTATTCATCAGTATATCATTATTACACTGGTAAGAAATTCTGTATAACATCTGCATATATCGAAGATTTTTTAAAAAATCTGATATGATTTTTTAGATCCGCATGACCAGTCACGTGACCTTCTTGAGGTTGATTAGCACCTTTCAATACATATATATTTTTATATATAATAGATCTTTTTAAAAAACTTCTAACAATGAGCTCATGCAGAAGCACGAGCGAGCTGTAACGAGATGACAGATAAAGATGGGGTTGGATGACTTTTTTTTTTTTTTTTTTTTTTTGCAGCAGAATGATTCAGTTTGTGCTCAGGTTCCCTATAAGGGCAAGAAAAAAAACCCAAAACCAACACAACAACTCTATCAGGTAGCCACTTGTTCACATTTCCACTTGAAGACTAATTCCTCTAAAAGTGTTCCCCAAGTAGAAACAAGACAACAGTATTATCATCCAAAATAGCCTCTGTATAAACATCTACTAATTTTTGCAGCTTCTGGCTGGCATCTCTTGGCTCCTGAAATTTCAGGTCCTCCGCTTATAAATTAAGGCATCACAACTGAAAATGGGAATATTTGGACAGGAATGCTGTGGATGAAGGAATACCAAAGACCTTCTACAAGAACCTCCATAGAAATTAAGTGGCAGAGCTAACCTTGCATAAGGGATGAGCATAATTTATCCTTACCTGCTTTTCAAACCCAACTGAAACATTTTTACAGTTAGTCCAATCTTTTTTTAACAACTGAATTTTAATGGATTTTCCCTACTTGAATTTTATATCTCTCTATATTTACATTCATTATTCAAAATAACTGGAATTTCTGTTTCCTGTGGTTTACTAACACGTATCACGAAGGTCTTTTCTGTCTTTCCAGACGGCCTGTGCTGTCCCCCAGAACACACACCGAGCTGCAACAGCAGCAGTGGGAGCTCTGCAGGCACAGGAGGAAGGAGGGAGCTCCTGCCATCGACTGGCCTTGCAAATATATCACACATACCTTGTACTAAATCCTATTTTTACAGCAGGAAAAAGTTCCAAGCGGTTTTTTCTTTCTTCCACCGTGTGGAGGGGTATCAGAATTATTACACAGTACTTACAGCTCTCAAGCACTATTCCTGCAATAGATGAAAACAAGTAACAGTAATACTTGTCCTGGCTCTCTCACAACAGTCTTTTTTCTTTTCTTAAACAATAGTTAACTTGATTGAACTATTTATGACTTGAAAAAACTCAACAAGTTCAAGTGCAGATGAAAGAACAAAACTGGGATTTCTCTTTTCCAAAATAAGTTCATTATTAAAAAAAAAAACCAACACAAAAAAACCCCTCACTTTAAATAAAAAAACAAAAACAAAACCCCTGATGCCAGAGCAGCTTCAACAGGGTTTTGCAAGAACGTCTGGAGTATTTGCTATATGTTTCCTATGGATTTCATATATAAGTATATAGTTATGTTATAGTCAAAGGCACTAAAATCTAAATCCATTTTCTTCCTAATATGACATCTGCTACTCACCAAGCTGTTTTTAGAAAACAAATGTCACTCCTAATTTGAGTCATCAGAAAGGCATCGTCTCATTACAAATGCATTATAATGACGAGTCTTGACAGGGCTGAGTTGCCCGTGATTCCCAGCACACAACGGGAGACAAAGGGATCTGGGAGCCTGCTGGATTATGTCATGCCCTATCAATTAGGCCACTTGATTCTGAAAATGCTGCCATGTTAACATCACCTCTCCCTGTACACGTAATCGCTTCTCTTCATCCCCTAAAAAAAAAAAGCATTCTGTGTGTCAGCCCTGGCTGCACGTGCTGCACCTGCAGATCATGGACACAGCTACACGGAACCTTGACTGTGAGGGTGAGATGTTGTACACACCTTATTGAGAATGTTATGAAAATGCAATTCGTTGTCCCCTTTAATACCTGAATCTGATATGTTTCATTCCCTGTCACACCTATTAATGCAAAAGCCATGAATGCCTTTTTTTGCTAAACAAAACGTCCCTAACTGCAATCCTTAAACTCTTCCTTCCATCCACAGTCACAGAAAGCCTTGATTGATATAATTCAATGTTAATGAAGTAGAAATTTAAATTTTCATAAAAAAACCCAAGGGTATATATGCTGCAAAAAAATCTGCAGTGAATAGGTAATAAAAAAGCCTGGGATCTTTGTAGTAACGTGGTTTTCCCTCCCGTTGCCGTGATGAGCTGAACCAACTAAGGAGCCTCAGCACGGCAACGGAAACTATCATCATAAAATGGTACAGTAATAGAGATAGCTAGACCAAGAAGGGGCAGGGTCTCCTGGGAAGAGGTCTGCAGAGAGGTCCAGTGACTGGTCATGCGGCTCAGTGTCAGGAATAATGGTTGTACGGTGGAAGGGGGTGCCCAATACCATTTTGGAAGTGATGATGCTGACGATGGGCAAGGTACTCTGTGTAGCTCATCGTCATCTTCTCACTGCGGTACCTGGAAAAGAGCAAAGAAGCCAATTCAAGAACTGTCACCAGGAAGGTGCAAGTAGCACTAGAAATGCTGCACTGGTGGTTTGTTTAAGTGATAACAACTCCACACTTCTGATACTGGGAGTAGGACTGACTTCAGCTGTACAAGGGCAGGGGAGGAACTGCCACAATGGTCAGGGGCGTTCCTGAATCACAGCACAAATCACAACATAAGTGTTCATGAAAAATATTTTAAGCAACCAGAACTATTAAAAATGGTTGCCTATAGTGTTGCTTTAAGTAGAGGGAATAGAAACCCATGACTGTACTAACCAGGGTCTTCTTTCTTATCCTTCTTAAAAATGGAATATTTGCAAACTTCCACCCAACCGGGACCTCTCCTTTCCTTTTTTGTTTCTTTTGTGCTCCCATGCTGTTGCTCCAAACAAAATCATGTAGCAAGAAGAAAATGTGAGCTGTATAGAATTTTTGTTTCTTGGGACAATATACTCCTTATTTACTGAGGTGTGCAGAGATTGTCATTGGAGAACTACAGCACTGTTATTCTTGCCCTCAGCTATCTCCAGATATTCTTCCTGAACAGAAGATAGCAAGGTGTGCAGCTGAAATAAATTAAAAGGAAACTGGGGTTCTGCATTTGGAAATGTGGCTGGCTTCTGTAAATCCTTCCTTCAGAATAGCATGTTTTCCTCACTCAGAGCTACTCCACAATAATTAGATTCCTACAAGAATTCAGAATCCTGAACAGTCATTGAGACACAAAATCTTTATCTCCCCGAAGAGTACAAATGATCAAACATTCCTTATAACGTAAGATTTTAAAAATTCCTATTTCTCCACACATAACTAGGTAACTAAAGTTCAGCAGTCATTTTACACTGTAAGCTTCTATAAATAAAGAGCGTTAGAGCCATTCTTACAGACATTCCATCCTCCACCCTTCCCCACGTAGCTACAATATCACGGCAGAGTATCTGCTGCTCATTCTAAAACAGTTTGGCTCCCACCAAGTCCTCAAGACCACATTTTATTAAATTAGCAAACTAAAACTAAACTAGTATGAAATAAAATATTAAATTCTTGTCCTCACTCCTGAGAATACCCTGCCACAGTTTCACTGGTGCACTGGCTGTCAAAGCAGTACAAGGCTTGATTGTCTCACACCTTCAGATCTGGGCAACCTGCACTCCACGGGGGATAAAAGAGCCCCAAAGCTTTCTCTGGGAATCCAGGGGATCAGGGGTACTCTGTGAGCTACAGCAGCAGCCCCACCACAACCACCTGCCCAAATCCAGTCTGACAAGAGCAAGTAACCCCTGCTAACCACAGCCCTGCCCACCCACTACAGCCAAGGAACACACCGGGAAAGCACTGCTGGGAATGTGCAGAGTTACAGGAAATGTGCAGGTACCCTGATCTGTACCCTGGCATTGAACAGCTGCCTCTCATTTCTTGCTCAGTGCCACCAATTCCTGTGCAAGGCAGAGAGATCTTCCAGGGAAAACAAAGAGATCACTGATGGATGATCAGACAGGAAAGGTCACCGGTACCATCTGCAAGGAGCACTTACCAGGGCCGAGCACTCACAGCATCACAAGCAGGACTAAGGTGGGGTATTCGGTGCATACCTGGTTAGCTTTATTGTTTTCCTGAACTCATTGGTGATCGGAGCTTTGTAGCCTCCTTTCCTCAACAAGGAATCTATGGTTTGAATGTGGTCCCAGCCTGTTGGATTTTACAGGAGCAAAAATTAGTGAGAAATGCAGCGGTAAGAGCAGATGTTGCAAAAACGCAGCAGGGGAGTGGTGCTGGTAAGGACAGAAGCTCTGTTGATGTTCTGGCATAAACCAGAACCTTCTTCCCTTCTTCAGAACAGAAGGAAACACGATTTTTAGGATTTCTTCACACAAACAGTTCACTCTACAAACAAAATGTATTTTTTATATATGATTTTATAGTTGGAAATAATATATGAGTTTATAGTTGGAAATATTCTAAAAGTGAGGCCACTCTACCCAGGTGCCACAGACTGGGGGCGAGAGACAAAATTTAACTTCTCCCAAACGTTCAGGTATGATCATGTACCACAGTCACTTTATAAATGGCTATGGCAGTATGGAAAATTAAATTTCTGTATAAAGTAAAATTGAGAAGAATTATTAGCTGAACATGTGCAGAGAATTCCAGGGATCAGCACTTCTTCATAAATATCACTTAGATTTACAGCAATATGTGTCGTTTTAGAACTAGTATATATTACATTACACGAGTCTGGGTAATAGAAGAATCTGTATTTTTAATCCATCACTTTATTGCTGTTCTCAAGAAAATCTTTATGCTATTCAAAACTCCTATTTGTTGATTTTAAAAAGCCTAATATTTTAAGCAGCTGTTAGACACGCTGTTTCCAAAAGATGCAATACATTAGTCACGTTGTTACGTTAAAAGAATCAAAAAACCCCAGTAGTTTTGGGTACATACAAAATACAAATGGGTAGTTTTTGAGACTTTAAAGAGTCATATTGTAGTGCATACTAAATTTATTATTTAGTCTACTAAACTTATTTAGACATTTAAACACATCCCTCCTCCTGCACCTCCCCAACCCCCAAACTGAAAAAAAAAAGCCTGGAATGACTCTAGACTTTTAAGCAACTATTTAAAAAGAGAATTATCTATTAAAGATGATCCTCAGTAAAGGTATCAGCCAAACCCTTTGAGGACAAACAAATATAAAAAGGAGAAGGGGAAAAAAAAAAGCAGCTATAAAAAATGTAAAAAGATTGAGACCAACTGAACCACACCATCAACCTCTGAATCAGAAAGCCAGTGAGCACTCAGTGAGCTGCTTGGCCAAAAAGATGGTCCAAAAGATGATTATTCAACAAAATCTACTCTAGTTTTTTAAATTTACAAACTCAAGGCTGTGCCTCTATTAAAAGGGATTTTACCACCATTACTTTGGACTTTCTAATTCGAAATAATTCCCTTCCATCCATCAAAGCCCCTGGGAAGTCAGTGTTTGTAAGAGGAGTGAAGTCCTAGCAAAAAGTACCCAACTGGAAAGCAACTTGATCTTTGGGAATTCAGGAATAAATCAGCTGTTGGGATAATTGCCCAGCCATGTCCCTAATATCACAGACTAACAAGTGCTAGCCTGGCTGACAGCACCGTACCACCCCTCCATATTTTATTTTCCTACAGCTACGCTGCATTTACGACTGGCTCAAAAACCAGCTGCAGTTCACTGAACCCCTACAGAGGACTGACACAGGCATGAAATGGGCATTTCATAGAAGAGTCTTCTTACAATTAAGTACTGCTCCATCCTCTGACATCAGTGCAAGGTCAAATATTGCATTTTAGATTTACAGGCATGTTTAAATCCTTCACCAGATCATATGAAATAAAGTGCAACAATGACCTTGCTCCTTCGCAACCTCCGGTAAGTAGGTGGCCGTGCGCTTGGATCCTTTCTCGTTGATGAATTCTATTCTAATGCCATGTACACCCACCTGCAAGAAACCAGCAGCTTTATTAGTACACCACCAGAAAAAAGGAACGGATTTCTAACATAATAAGACCCAAAACATGAACCTTTCAGTGGCTGATAGCATTGTGCAGAGTTTCAGGAGGTGGCACTGCAGCGGGTGTGACCTTTTTTGGGAGGTGTTCACCTGAGAGCCACGTGAGCTCAGCAGTGGCACAGGGATGTTCCTCCTCTCCACACCATGGAGCTTCCTCCACTGCTGGGCTGCAGGAAAACCAGCTGAGGTGCACAAGTCCTTCTGTCTCCAAGTTTACTGTCTCCTCTGACACTGTCGGCAATGTTGCTGCCGATAAAATCACCCGGTCACCAGCTACAATCTGCACCCAACCAAAGAGCTGCCACATCTAAGGAGGCTTTTTAAGAGCATTAATTTAGTTCAAAGCAATAACTGAATGATCACAGATTTGTCACACTACAAACTCAAGCCTGGAGCCTTCAAAGTTTCTGCTAATGTATGACAAGGAAAAGGAAATATTCCATAGTTCTCAGCATCAAACTCCCATTTCCATGCTACCAAGTACTGTAACAACATGACAAAATGCCAGCATGGAAACCAAGATAACCAATACCAAGGAGCTGGAGACTAAGTAGAAATGCCAAAAAAATTTAAAAGCAAAATGAAATAAAGGCTGGGCACACCTTTCCAGGGCACTTTTAAGCCCCCCTGCTTCCAAGGTACAATAATTCTGTGGAGAGTACCTGTGCTGGGATCAGGAATGCCATAAAAGATATTCCATTGCCAGAAAGTTTTCAGTTGCTTTTGAATTCTGTGCATAAACACAAAGCATTAGTAGATGGACATTTTTATTTTCATGCCCACATAACCAAGATGTTATTTCCATTTAAATCCAAAGTTCCCAACACTGTATGTGAAAATGAATAGCTGCTGTCTGACAAGTATCATGTTATTTGGTGTGGCACTTCCTTGTGGAAACAAATTTAAACAAAAAATGCTGTAACAGTTTTTCCAGTGATAATTTATTTCACTCTATCTGCATGGCAGTCAAAAACCAAATAAGGTTTAAATATTTAAAAACTATACCACTTCTTCAATTATCTTATTTCCTTGAATTAAGACTTTATTTTTTGATCTTTTCCTTCTTTGTATAGGATATAAGCATGGAGAAATGGTTGGAAGAGTTTCTTGTGGCTGGTCATGGCCTCAAAGAGTTTCCCCAGGAATTGAACATTGTTTATAAACAGGAAAAATGAAACTTTGCAGTGAATTGAACTTGTTGGTCTCAAATCTTAACACAGAATTTCATTACCAAACACTCCTAAACCCCAACTTTCACAACATGGATATCTAATCACCAGAGAGATCAAATCTGTATATTCAGATGATGTAATTATGAACCCAAAGGGCCTGAAAGGAAAATAAAACAGTTTTAGAAACTGAAATGAACCTACTGAGTTTATTCCAAAACCAGTGGGTATTTGCAGCTGATGATTTTATTGCTGTCTATATTCAGCTTCCTAAGCACTAAGATTAAATATTTCCAGGTTTTGCACACCTTCAAATCCTGCAGAATGAGATTCTAAATGCTACCCAAGGGTTTTGTGTGGCAGTGACCCCACAGTATTCATGATTATTCACATACTAGTGATGTATTGACTATGATGCAACATTCAAACTCTATCACTGCTGTGGATGTTTCTCACCAACCACCATCTTAATGGACTTTTAGGCCCATGCCTGTAGAAAAAAAATGGATGTACAGCAGAATGAACAAGGCAAAGCAACTGCACCCACAATTCCTCTGGCTGGGAAAACTTCACAGCTCTCTGTGGAGCGTGAATTCCAACTGTGGAGCTGAGCAGGACTCTCAGTCCAGTATAAATGGCTTTCCATTGTTCAGCTCCAGTTAAATCAAAACCAGGCTTGAGTTAAGCAAATGAAAGCCACACACAAGCGAAATAAGAATGATCCACACTAAGACTGGCATGGGCACAGTCTGGAATTTATTTTGACTTCGAGAGACCAGCGTTCCCACACTAATGAAAACTTCTGAGAGATTTCCCAAAGCATCCCTCCCCGAGATGGGAAGGTAAAGGCTGGCTCTGTGTTTGGAAGGCATTGACTGTAACTGTCACTGTTCCCAGGACCAGCAACCACCTCCACACACAGCCCTGGGGCTGCTTCTCAAACTAAAAATACTGATACGCTACCGGCAACGTTCTGTGGAACAACAACATCTGTCTGTGCAGTTCAGAAAAACAAACCAATATCTCCTGCAGCTGCAGTTTGAGCTCTGTCTCGTCTGCTACCATTTATTAGGGAAATTACTACCCACAGGTATCCTTTGGAGCTGCACAACCACCACCAGATTGTTTCAGCCTCCCACGGGGGCAGGAATCTGCTTAAACTGTTGCTACTGGGAGAGGAGAGTCAGACAAGGAGAGACTCAGAAAGACAAAAAACAATCTCCAGTAGAAATATTTCTGTGGGGCTTTAGAGCATGAAATATTGCATCCTATAAATCCAGGACTTGAGGATACAAACTTTCTGGCCTGTTGTGTAAGTGGTCAGAGGCTGCCTAAAATTAGGTCCAATGACATTGTTAAAGCTCATAGACTAAAACAACCTAAGGATTGCCTTAAGCTTTACTTCTGAAGTGATCTTAACAGAAATTCAGGCTTTGCTGTGTATTTAAACACATTCACATTCGTTTTTACGTATCAGATTTTAATTAATTCCTTATTTACATACACCATTGGATGGGAGAAAACAGGCACACACCACATTTATTGTTTTGTCAAGTGCCTCTGGCACTTGCTAAATTACTGCCTGTAATACCTCTCTCTGTATCTATATCTAATAAAAAATTGTTCCAAAACTCACTCTGAAATCAAAGTTCAAGGAACTCTCCTGTTAAATACTGTTCTGTCCCAAAATTCCAAACAATTCACTGATCTGTTCCCCTTGGACTGACTCTCCAACCATCCTGAGAGGAAGAAAACACATTATTCTCATCAGACTATCCATGGGGAATTTGGATAAGCACCCAAACATCACACCTTGTGTATTTACACACACAGGATCACTGAATATCATGCTAAGAGAATAAAAGATTGAGATCAAGGCTCCTTCTCTGTTCTATGGAACAGAAGCTGCAAGAGCTGGTGGTGTCGCTGCACTTGCAGGTAGGAAAGAATTTCCACAACTCTTCAATGCACCTACATTGTCAACACTGAAAAGCCACCTTTCAGTCCACATTATTGGCTACAACTATTCGAGCTAATATTTAAACCAGTGCACACAGGCTAGAGGCCTTTTGTGTTAACACAGCCAGCATATACAATTCTGCAGATTTTACTTCACTGAAGAACAGTAATTTCAGGGCAAAGACCTCTTTCAGTGTATTTTAAGGAAGAGCCACTGGTCAATTGAAGTTATTTATTACCCTGTTGGAACTGCAAGAACGATTTCCAAAAAGTTTTTTATTATAATTACATACAATTGTAATGCTTTAGGATCTTTTAATAAAAGATGAGAAGAGGGGCTGAATTAGCAAGGTTAGCAAAGGTGAGCACAAGGAGAATGGCAATGTGGATAAAGTTGAGTTTCTGTGGGGAAGGAATGACTGCTATCAATAAATAACTGGTCTTTATGATTTCTCTTGTAAGTAGTCCTCTGCTGTCTGATCTTTAATAAAGGAGCAGTACTATCACAAAACAAAACACGAGTTTCTCCTGTCTTGTTTCCCTGAGGTGGAAAGGCTGTGAAACTCCAGCCCAGCAGCAACTGGACCACAGTGATATCCCAGAGGTTCTGTTGAGCAGAAATGGAGATGAAGTTGCTACACTGTCAGTGTTCCCTTCAACACCCTCCATCTGTTCAGCTACTGAAGGGCACTGCAATTCAGACAAGGTCCCCTGTAAGTAAGAATGCTACATTATATTTTAGGAAGTGTCCTCATGAACATGGCACTGAAGTGGTCCTTTGGAGGTGTACTTTCTCCTGCTTGCTTTTAGAAAGGGTAAAAGTGGCAGCAATTTGAAAAATCTTGTGGGAGGTAACAGCAGTGAATTCACACCTATCTCCTGTTTATTTGATTGAAGTTTCTGCTGGAAGAGGATCTTGCATCCCTATTTACAACTGAAATATTCATTTATTTAGTTTGGAAAGGTAATGCCTTAATCAGAGAAAAGAAGATCTACCACTCTGCTTCAGGATACTGGAGACACTCCTGAGATGTGTCTTCAGATGACCTTGTCTCTCAGTCCCTAGAGCACTGGGAGTTGTCTGAATTGGCAATTTTGAAATACTGTGGCCTCTGTCAGCAAACTGCTGAACTGGCTCCCATGGGATCAGCAGCAGCACACCTACAGATGCAGGGTCTTCTAAGCAGGCCGATGTTTTTCAGGATGATCTCAGCGTTACAGGAGATGAAAGATGCAGAACCTCTTTACATCATACTCTAGACATCCTGAAACGTCCCTTTGCCATTAATATTGCATAACTGCAGCCCTCTTAGGAGAAACATGGGTGACACGAGCCATCTCACTGACAGGCATACAGCAGTGAGTCATTCTTTTAAGGACTAACAATTCCAAATTTTTTTCCCCTCCTATTTATGTATCACCTCCCTCCCCCTGGGCCCTTTTGCATGAAAAGCTCCTTTGTGACCATTTCTTAGAACTCAAAGGAATTTGCTAGAAGTTTTAAAAGCCTACAATTAAAAAACTTTAAATGAAATAGGAGACAGCAACTAAGCAAATGGATAACACAAAGACTATTATCACATTTGACCCCTCCATTCTTCCCTCATAATCAGAGCTTTACAACAAGAATTGTGAAAATCCATAAAATCATCCAGAACTCAGCAAGGCTACAGTTCTGCATGAAGCTTGATTACACTGTTGATTACAAGTCTCACACATTCTGCAGTGAAGCACAGAAAGGACACAGAAAGTAAAAGCTTCCTTTGTTTAGTACAGTCTTAGTTATGAATCAGCAGCCCCCCAAGGAACAAAGTTAAAACCGGTCTTTCCAAGGAGAGTGGATTTTTGAACTCAGGCTTTGGTTTCAGCTTTGGTTTCATCTTTAAGGATGAGTATTTGGGTCATCTTATAAATTTATTACTGAGATGATAAACCAGCATCTAATAGTATTTCTAAGCTACTACATGCACTGACCTAAATGCTATTTCCTTATGCACTTCACCTTTTGAGAGTGTGTTCATAGTCTGATTTTTAATGAATTATAAATTAAATTGAATTAAAAACATCCCAATGGTTGCTACCAAAACTCAACCGAGTAGAGGAGGAAAATTCTACCATTTTGATTTCTAGCTTGGTTTAGTATTAACAGTCACTACAGTCTGATTACTTGAAAATACTGTTTAAAACATGAACAGCTCAGTGACAAGGCAGACAACTTCTCTGAAAAAACACCTTATTGAGAATGCAAAGAGTTTCAGCTAAGATTTATTTCTGCTCTGACATTGCATAAAAAATGAGTATTTCTGATTATGGTGAAAATGCTGATAAACCCCAAAGAAAACCTGGATTCATCCAGTTCAGAATTACATACTAGAAGGTAAGAAGCCCTTGCATTATGAGGTGAACAGGAAACACATTTTTGTTAATTTTCAGCTACTGTAAGATTCATGATGCTGAGGTTACTGCTGGATACCTTCTTTCTGAGACAGCAGGGCCTCTTACTGTTCTAATGACAAATGCAGTTTCTATTCAATATATATTTATGTGTAAATACAACAGAAAGCCTCTTTTTTTCTCAAGAAATTCTAAATATTTAATAGGGCTGAATTACTATTAAAGGCAAACACTGTAGCTTGTGTGGTGTCTGGCATTATAACACATCTGCTGTCGTGTGACGATTGCAGATTTTTTTTAATGTCCACTCAAATACAGACTCAAAGAGCAACACAACATGATGGCTGAGATGAGAAGTTCATCTTAAGCCTAGCAGCTTGTTTTTTGAAAGTGTCTAATGTCAAATAGTTTGGGGAAAATCAGAATAATACAGACTGACTGCTCCATCAGCACACTTGGCCATACATACGTCAGCATCTGCTTCTCAGTCTCTTGGATGCTGCTGTTCCCAGGGAATGCAAGCAGGTTTCCTAGAACCTGGCAATTAAAATAGATTCAGCTCCATGCATAAGAGCAAACAATATCAGGAGTAGTGACTTTCTTGGGCTCCTTGTGGGGATTTACTTGGCTTTGTAGGGGTCTGTGCAGGCCACTCACTCTGAAAGCAAATAAAGTTTTGGGAAAGATAAATGTCTTGCTCCTACAAGCTAAATAAGGCAGCTTGCTCTGGGATTCCAACTTCTTGCTGTGCTTGTTTCCAGAAGCATCCCTCAGATTTATTCACTTCCATACTGGAACATCCCCTTTCCAGAGTCCAGGGACTGATCCACCACGTTCCTGTGTTTGCTGGGACAGCCTCGCTCAGACAACACCTCACCTGATGGACTCTTAGACACCAGGACCACTCTGAGTGCCTAAGTGGGCAAAACCCACAACTTCATTCCATTTTTCATGGCTCACACTTTTAAGGTGATGACAGCTCTATCAAAAAGGCTCTTTTGAATCTCTGCACATAACCATGTGTACAGAGAGCAGAACAGCAACAGCTACACTAATATATGCAGATCATTTAAACAGTGTGACTTGGGCTACAGATGTTCATGGTATCAAAGCCATTTTCTGAAAAGACAGCTGACATTCTTACCTCCCAATCCAGGTAGTCACATACATCTTCAAAGTTAGTGAGGAGAGACACTGAGCAGAAAAGCCGTGGCAGCTCATCCCTCGTCATTGGGGGGAAACGACTATCTTTAAGGGCACTGTTGAAGACAAAACAGAATTTCAAAGGAATTTTTTTTTTTTTTTTAAATTCCAAGGATCTAACGAATCATCTGAAGAGTATAAAGGACAAAAAAAAAAAAAAAAAAAAAAAAAAAAAAAAAAAAAAAAAAAAAAAAAATCCTGATGAAATGATGACCGGTTTGATAATCCAGTCACCAGTGTAACACATGGATCAATATTCCCAACTTTTTCCTTAGACATTTGTTTCAGTTCTTGGCTGGCCACAGTCAGGTGTTCTGAGGGTCATTCCTTCCTGAGCTGGTTTTGCTACTGTGACAATCTCATTAATGAAGTAGCAGAAAGCTTTTGGAAAAAGTTACAAAACGAATAGTTCTTCCACTTGTAAATCCCTTTCAAAAGGATTGAACTTCACAACACGAAGTGGAAGGGGAAGTTCTATACTCTGCAGTGACCAAACACTTAATACAGTAATCAAACTGTAGAACTTAATTATTCAGTGAAAAACATCCAAACAAAGCATTCCCTAAAAAATAATATTCATGCTTACTAGCAAAGGTGAATATAAAAAAACATTCAAGGGCTCTACAGACCTGTAAACCTACAGGACTTGAGGAGGTTCTGCAAAGCAGATGTCATGATTAGTAACAGGGAAGCTGCAAACAGCTAAATCCACAGGCTGACAAACCATTCTACAGACAAACACACCTAATGGGGTGAAATCCCCTGCTGAGAGGAGCTACCTGTGCACAGTCCAGCACGTTGGAAACACAGCAGTTAACAGACAGCAAGCAGCACCACGAGTGAGAACGTTTGTAAAAACCTACTTGCATAAGTTGGGTTAAGAACCAGTTAAATTGGCAAAGGGAAGGTTAAAATGAGTATGGCATCTCAATTTTTTTATTCTCTTAAGCTTGGAAGTGTGACGTGAATACAAACATGCTCATCTCCAACAAAACCAGGGACCTGCTGACTGAGCTTTTTGGTGAGTAAAGAGAACTGAAGAGACTTGCTGAAGGACTACCAAACCCACGTGTCTCATTGTTTCAGATCCTTCTTGATTGTTTTACTTGGCCTAGAGCCAGTGGTTGCCATTAGCTGATACAATTACAGCCACAGCCATGGAGTTGGAATATGGCTGAAGTCTCTGCACCAGAAACCATATTTTATATAAAAAGTAATATAATTTTGTTAAAGCAGACCAAGCAAGGACACATGAGAAAAAAAACAACATGTAAAGTTTAACTAAAAGAAATCATCATAAATATAACCACAAACAGCTTTCCATCACAAATTAATACCATACACTGAGGAGTTAAAGTAGGACCTATATTTTTCTGGGTCAGGGGGAAGGCAGGTTTCTTGTTGCAGACATGTTACAATTACAAAACAGAACATGGTATTGAAATTTAGACTAGAAGCCTTTCTCCAAGGTTTCGTATTTTTACGTTACATAACAGGTCAACAATTTAAATTTCCATTATGAAGGCAAACTAATAATATAATTCAATAAAAGTGGGCCTATGGTATCCATTATTTAGAAATAATTTTAGGCAACCCCAGCTGAAATTGCCATAGGTGTGAGAGATGATGTTGGGACAGTAACTACCCAAGATAAATTCTGTTGCCATTTACATAGTCTAGACAGGCCTACACAGACCTGTGAAGAACTGGGAACATTAAAGAGATCTAAAGCCTAATGTCTGTAATATTTAGCTAATGACTTCTAATGAAAATGCATCCAAAGGCAGTAACTCTCCGAGATTTTGTTGATGGGATTTGCAAAGCTAGCTTTGTAACTGCTGGAAGCAGGCAGAGTTACCATCCTCTGCTCTCCAATGCTTGGAGCAACATCAGAGACAACTCCTACAGCCACTGCAGAACAGCAACATCCAAAAATACCAACAGCTAATTCAGCTTTCTTCTCCCTCCATGTACCAGGGGGAATAAACATATACATGTAAAGGGAGGAACTCAGAACACAGGGACAGCTGGAACCACAAGTCCATCTAGCCTAGTATTAAGTAATAACCAACAGCAGTTTGCAAAATGAATGAATATAAGAACATCGTCACGGAAAAGGTCCAGGGGTACCTTCCTGGAACATTCCCCAGGAATCCAGCTTAAAATAATTGAGTTAGAAATGGTATCTGCACTTAAAAACTTTCCTTGGGTCTATTTAGTGAGTGTATGTATAAAAGTTTTTAATATTTTACCTCCATCTTTTACTAAAAAATTATGTTCAGAAACCTCAATCCACTTCAAATCCATTGCTACCACAAGTTTGCTTATATGCAGATGTCTCATCTCCCTGAGGGCTGCTGCACCTCTCTCATAGAACCAACCTATCTGAACACTCAGTTTACTGAGATGCAATCAGACAGACAGGTATTGTTTCATTAAACAATAAATTTGGTTATCAAATACATACAGTAACGACTGTATGCATGGACACTGCCAATATTTGTTTAAGTCTGCTTTTCATAATTTATGCAAACCACGCAAAATTTCCCATACTGTAATAATTTACAACCTTCAAAACATTTTTTTTTGCCCCCCCTACAGTTTGATAGTAGGAGTTTATCACTGAATTCCAATTCCTAAGGCTGCCAAAATCCACTGTGAATTTTAATTTTTTGAGGCAAAGGTTGTCTGGTGTCGGTGTAAACCTGATGCTCACAACATCAGCAAATCTCCACTCACTGAAGATCTGCTGCACTGGCATTACCAGCTGTAATTTTAACATTCTTCAAGTTGTGCAGAAACAAACCTCACCCCATGCTCGTGTAACCCACATCTCAGCCAGTCCACCCAAATCCTGAGCTAATAATCTGAAACAAGATTAGAGAAATCATGGCAAATTTAAATACTAATAAAAAGCTGAGATGGTGAAACCTTCACCTGAACACAGTGGGAGCAGAAAGGCACACAAAGGCACAAAAGCCTCAGGCACACACAGCAAACCAAGCGGTTCAGCTCTGGTGGAAGCAGCACCGTGCAGTGAACATTGCAAGCTCAGCTGACCTGTTCCCTTCTCCAGTAACATGACAACTGGTACAAACACCTTGTTTTCACATAACCATCTCGGGACAACTAAAATATTGTTCATCAAATGACAGAGCCATTTCAACTATCCCCAGCTCCTGCCTGAACTGCCAGGTGCTGTTTTATCCGTACAGCCTGCTGGAAAATTCCTCCTTGACACCTCCGTGACTACAGACACCCCTGCACAGATCCTGTCTCAGCACTCCTGCTGCTGAAGGTGAGTGAGATATCTGGCAGAACAAGACCAGAGATTTGAGTAACAGCCTCTGACACCCCTGTGACTGCTCTATACAGAATATTGCTGCTATTCTATTCCTCCTTTCCCCACTTCCATACCCCGTATTACAATCTTTGTTGTCCTTTTTGTTGTTTAAAACCAAGATCTACCTGGAGAAATCCGTGTTGACAAATACTTAGAAACTGGAACAAAACATACTGAAGGGAAATGCCAACGGGAGAGCATTTATTTGTACCAGCCAACCACACATGAAATACTGTCTGCTAACCAAATTTATCAAACTACAATTATATCAGGTGCCAGTTTTAGAAGAACTACATTAAAACTTAATAGCCCTTCCCTAATGAGTTTGGGCATCATTTTAAAAGCTGAGAACTGTTTAAGTGCTCTGTATGACAAGTAGAGTATCAGTCATCTTCTCAGTCATTCTTTTATTACTACCATGGTTGAAACTCTGAAGTTCCAGATACCTTTTGCAAACCTAAGAGCAGACCAGCTTTGTTTGATCTCTTTGCAGATTAACTGCTTTCATTATTGCCTGTTCTCAATGCTTGGTTAGCAGGAGACATTTGGCATTAGAGATGCTTCCCTTCAGAATTCAGCCACTATCCTTGAGCTTAAACTTCCTTCATCTCTGTGGGTAGCAAATCAATCTCCATCTCTGACTGCTCTGATGGTGCCAGTGGAACGAGTGGATGGTGCCCAGTACAGTTCCTCAGGGGCAGCTGTGCCTGCTGTACAAACCTAAGCTCTCAATGCTTCACACAGTGGCCTCACTCTCAGAAATGTCAGCAGATCTCAACACTTACTTATCGAGGACAAAAATCCTTGCAGGAGCTTTTACTTTTGCTGTTCCTGTTCCGGGAAGGAAGAATCTCAGTCTGTAGATGCAGCAGTTTGGCATGTGCCACGCACCTCACACACTCTACAGACGTCTGTGGATGTAAATTCAGACTCAGGCCTCCCTTGGCAGGTCCCTGTGCCCCTCAGTGACCAACTCACAGTAAGCAGAAAACAAGGCAAGGTAATGCACACGCTTTCCTCAAAAATAGATACCAGGTTTAAAAAAATATTAACTCCACAATTTTTATGTTAAGCTTAGAATTAAGAAAGGGTGAATGCAAATAATTAGCAAAAGAAACAGGGAAAATCAGGCAGAATTCAAAATTAATTTCAAAAGCATTTTCTAAGCCATCTGTTCTTTATTCCTTCATGCCCAGAACTAATCTACATCCATCACTGCTGACTAAATGAAAGTACATGGCAGTGACGAGTTGAAAAAGGGCAGTGCCAAGCAAGGGGAATTCTGGCTGGCCAATAAAAGGGCATCAGTTTTTCCATATGGAGTTCTGCTCCATGTTAAAAGCGAAGCAGGCAAAGTCAGAATTGAATCCTGTTCAAACAGACCTATTTTTAGACACAAAATGCATGCACACACACGCATGGCCTTTCTGGTTAAATATTTATGCAGTCTTGGGTGTCCTACTAAAATCAAGTAATTGCCAGTTAAGAAAAAGCCCCAAACAAAGTGTTACTGAACTATCGGGTTTCCTTCAGCTGAGCTGCACTTCACAAATCTCAGTTTTTCTTCAAATGAAGTTTATCTGCCCATAGGAAATGTTTTTCAATAAGTTCATTTTCCACGTACCACTCCCCCTGTATCTGGGATATAGAAAAGCTTGCAAAACACTTTAAAGACATTGAATATTTAAAGGAAATTGTTTAAAGTATTCTGAG